TGGAATGGCAAAGTCCACCTGGTATAGCTGACAATAAACCTTCTTTTTTCTTTTGTCCTTGGGACTCCTTAAAACAGGAATGGGGAATTTGTGGCTGCACCTGGAATCCAACAACATTTAACAGTAAATATAATAATACTATCAAATATAGATAAAAACAACATAATCTTTTTTAAAAGGTATAATTACATGCCTAGGTTAATATACCAAATAAATTTTAAAAACAAAACATGAAGGTGCCTGCTGGATATTAAGAAAAAGGAAGTTTGAGGGCATAGGTGCTGCCACACTAAAAGACTGAGTCCTCTTATTTTCTCAACCCTCATAAGACACCTTTGCTGGAATTTTGAGATATGTACATTTATGAAAATGTACTCAAATAATTGGTTGCAAGCCAGGATGGGAGAATCGGCAAATATCAATTCTCTCACTTCCTCATTTTCCCCCTCTTGAGGTCAGTTCTCCACATTTCCAACTCATTTTGCAATTCTTTTAAACAAAGTTTGAAAATCCATTAGCATGCTAGTGTGAATTTTTCCCAATATATACATTTTTAATGCAATTCCACATATTACCTTTTGGTATGCTATTTCCACTTATATATGCATTTTATGCACACTTTAGCCCAGTATGCATTTTTTTGCGCAGCTTACTTGGCTGGAGAATTTTGCTGCAGAATTCAGGAAAGTGTGAATTTTGAAAGATGCCTGTGTTTCAGTTTGTGTATTGTTTTGGAAAGTGCAAATTAGGTAGGTTTGCTTTTCAGCTTGACCTGAACTGAATTTCTGTTCCATCCTGCAAATCAAGGACCTGAGGCTGGGAGTTCTCTAGGCGTAAGAAATCCAAAGGAGAAAAGGAAAGAGGAAAGTGCCATATTGAGTTTGTCGCAGCAGAAATTGTTGTAGTACTCCCCCACTCCCCATTCATCTCCATCAATAATGTTTGGTTAAATGACACTCTAATATGTGTGTTGAAACATTCTGGAATAATTAAAATTGCAAAGGAAATGTGTTGGTTTCGGGGGGGGGGAGGGAAATGAGAAGATTTTCCAGCATTCTAAAATGTTTTGAAGTCAGTGCTTTCAATTAACTTGGTATCAATAAATTGATTGATTATCAACACCTTGCTTTCAGGTTCCCATTACTGCTTGTTCTTGTTTCCTTTGATGTTGTGCATTAAATGTACTATGTAGGTGTTCATTTGGGTATGTTAAAAGTTACTGGGGTTGCTTAAACTTGCTGTATGAAAGTCAGTCTATATTCTCATTAAGTATAAGCAATACTTGAAGGAGAAAGAAGACCTCATTCATTCTCTTCTGTCCAGGTTTTCTTTTGCTATTCTGTTGGTTGTGTTCCATTCCATTTGCAGCAGAGCAGGAATTTATTTGATAAGGGTGCAGCACAGCACTGAATGCAGCACATTTCTACAACGTAGACCCTAGATCCACACTATGCCCCAGATATCCATGGCTTCTCAGAGACCTGCACAGGCCCAGGTCACTTCTGGTTTTTAAAGCCCATTAAAAAAAAACTAATGAGAAAATAAACATACAAAATAACAAACAGCTGCTTTCTTGCTTGTATCAGGCTCAGAGTAAGAAATGAAAAACGATCTGCGTACAAGAAAGTCTGAATACTAAACACATTGACTGAATGGGAGAATTTTGCACAGTCGAAACTCCTTGGATTCTCAGATCTCCAGCCTGCAATTCTAAGCCCATTTCAGTGAGAAAACCCCATGAAGTACAGTGGCCAAGTCATTTCTGTCCAAGAGGAGTTGTAGTTGGCAAACCACCCAGAGCTGAAAAAGGCCCTCATTGCCACTGATACCACCACTAGGCTATACCAGCTACTCTAGGTAAAGCAGAAGCAATTAATTTCAAAGCCACATGGCCCTCTGAATCACAATAAGAATCAGTGTTTCAGTGCTGCCTGCTTTATCATGTTTGCCAACATATATACCATGCACGAGTAATTTTTTAATGCATGCCTTGAGATAATCAACGCCAAGTGTTGGATAAGACTATGCAAGAACATAACACGAGCAGATGGAATCCAATGGCCCTTGATAGTTATCAAGGAAATCTCATCGTGTACAATCATATCATGCCATGATTGTGTTGTCTTGAGTTATGACAAGCTGCAGACAATTTGGGGTAGCTTTTTCTTCTTTCAGAGAGACTCATACTTCCTGAGCCAAAAAACTGAAATTAAACTTGTGCAATCAAACATAATGCATAAAATTACTGATATAGACTGGAAAATAAAGTACTTCCTGAAAAATATATGCACTGAATTGTTGGGAGTGGGGAGAGAAAGATAAGCAATCTATATAAATCAATCCATTTGCCAAATGTTTACCCAGTCAGAACTGAGATGCTGAGTATATGCTAATCTGTTAAGAAACTGACATTTTCTAGTAAAAGTTTGTGGCATCAAGTAAATCACCTCCAGTGTGGGGATCTGATGAAGATATGGGGAACTGGTCCCATAGTTGATGGCCATATGTTCTGCTCTACACAACTCAGTCCTATATCTGAAGCAATTCCTGGTCCAAGTTCTGATTAAAGAACTGAAAGAAGAGAGAGCAGGACCCTCGAAGCTGCCTATCATAAGCTGAGCTGGCAAATCAGGTCACCTGACTACATGCTGAGATTACTGTATTTCTGTTTAAATCAAGAGGTCCCACCCACGAGGCAAGCTCAGGAAACTTCCTGGGGGAGTGGCAGAAGCCCCAGAGGGGACACCCTGTGGCCGCCCCACTGCCTTTACTGCTGGTGGAGAGGCAGCTGCTGCAACAGTTTTCAGTGAGATCTTGCAAGATCCCATGCACTCCACAAGATCTTTCTACGCTCTCATGACATCTCATGCACATCTCATGCACATCACACCAAGGTAAAGGAAGCTTCGGGCTGGGGGCTTTGGTGGCACCATTCCTGTTTCGCCTTACGTGGCAAAATGGGATATGTCATCCCTGATTTAAATTATATTCATTTCCCACCTAACTTTGCATTTCTGCATATAAATTAGCATTTACAAACATTTTGCAAATCAATGTCCTTTCTGGACAGATAAGTCACTGAAACAAGCTTGTGCCTCCTCCTTCTAAACATCAACTTGAGTTGTAAATCAAGAGGCCATTCTCCTTTGATTCTTGGAAATTAAGGAGGTTAGAATTGATAAGGCATTTCTTTGGTGTTGCTGTGCTATGTCCAAATACCACCATAATTCAACAGGAGAATATAGAGGACTCCCCAAAAGCCCTTTGAAGTAGGCCAAAATCAAACTTTATTCTTGATGTGCATAGGTTCAGAAACATAATTTTATATAAATGTGATATTTAGGGGGTTTGGGAGGGGGTTACTTCTTCTGTCTGTTGATATGGTTTGTATATATTTATAGTTTTGTTGGTGTTTTAAATAAAAATACTTGTTTTTAGCAAAATATAATTGACACAATTCTGTCTCCACTTGCCAAGTAACACATAGGTGAATATCTCTTACGAATGGGCTCAATGTCATAGATGGTGGATGGAAAGCAAACTTGTCTCAACCCATCTGCATTTGGTCCAGAAATTTGACTGGCAGGTCCCAATGGGCCACTTGGACCAATATAGAAGAGACCAGGAAGTCCTGCAAGAGATGTGTAGTATTGGAGGCAGGGACCATTATGGTTTTAATAGCTACAGGGTGGTGGCAGAATGAAGTAGAGATTGGGGCCTTGGGAAAATGGCAGGAAACTGGTACTCTGGTCCGCTTAGCTAAGAGATTCCTTGATGGAAATAGTATTGGATACATAGTTTTGTTGGAGGCCGTGGCTAGACTATTAGACTACTGAGGTATGCTGGCTGGAGGCTTATGTGAGCTGTAGTCCAACAACACCTAGAGGGAACAAGGATTGTGAAGGCTGCCTTAGCCCTCTCTTTTTCATGCTCCCAGTTTCCCAGTTGAGCCAATAAACTCATTGGGTGACTTTAGGCATCACTCTTGCTTAGCCTTATTTACCTTGCAGGGCAGTTTTTGTTGTGGAGCGGATCCATCTATCTGTGCCACCTTGAACCCTGGGAGGAATGACATTGCTACAGGCATAACCAGGAAAAATAAGTGTTTTTAAAGGAATCTGCATGGTGCATGATTCAGCATGATTCATGTTTTGTCAATTTTCTTTTTGCTTTGAATACAGTTGTGAATTTTAGATAATTTGTGTCATTAATTTCTGCAATTAGCCTTAGGCCCCTCATAATACCACTAATCCAGATCTAGAGAAGGACAGAAGTGATGGGGTCACCCAGGCCCATGCAGAGTTTTTCTGAGGCCCAGGGAAGGAACCTTGTTAGAATAAAGTTATAAACTCAAACAAAACAACAACAACAGCCAGTTCCTGGTGCCCCATCCCCTCACCAGCTTAGTTAGCCCTCCAAGGCCTACAACTAGTGAGCATGCCAATAATAATAAGAATGACTGCACTCTTCTACTTACCTGTTCCAGTAGCTCTTTGGTGGGTTTGTTGTGAGCTAGACAGGCAAGACCCTCCATCACTGGTACTAAAATTATCTTTGGAAAGAATATTGCTGTATTAAGTATGCACACATCCTTGAATCAATTTTATCAAAACATAAGAAACTGCCTTATACTGAGTCAGACTGTTAGCTCTTTTGGCTCTACACTGACTGGCGGCAGCTGTCCTTCAGGCAGGGTTCTATCCCAATCTTTCCTGGAGATGCTGAAGATTGAGCCTAGGATCTTCTGCATGGGAGCCATATGTCCTACCACTGAGCCACAGTCCTTTCTAAGGGGTCATGTGAAGCTGCCTTATATACTGTAATATGTAACATGCAGAAATGCTTTACATTAGATAAGATGCTTTGCAGAATTGTGACTATTAGGCAAATGTGCATACACAGGAACATGGGAAACTACTGATCCAACTAATCTCAGTATTGTCTGCACTGACTCAGCAGCTCTTCAAGATTTTCAGGCAGGGATTTCTCTCACCTCCACCTGGAGATGCCAGGGATTTAACGTGGGATCTTCTACATGAAAAGCAGATGTTCTGCCAATGAGCTACGTCTTTTCTGCATTTCTGTAGAGTGCAGTCTTCTTCATATCAAACTCTCCATGTTCCATTTCCACCATCCCATGCCCTCTATTTGTTTCTAGTTTCCCAACTCCAGACTGCCTCCAAAGAGTCTTCATTCTGCAGCATGCCTCTGCATAAATATCCTCCTTTTACCTCTGAAGTTCTCCACGTTTCCTGCAGCATCGCTAGGGGTCAGAGACACAAAGGTGCTATCCCCTGACTGTGGCAAATACTGCCATGTGTTGTATGTTTGATGAATTAAAAGGATGCTGCCAACTTAATTACACTGTAACCCTTCAATAAAGGAAGGGCAGAGCTGATTAACTAGTGAATAATTGGGGGCTGATTGATGGCTTTCTCCCTCACTGCTAAAGGCTGTATATGTAATTATTTTGCCTCTGGGCCTAATTTTCCACTGTTAGCTTCCACTTTTGTCGTCAGCTGTAATTTATGGATGGGGGCCCCCTAGAAAATGAAGTAGCCCCCCATCTCCCAAGTCATGTCACCTACAAATGGCCACCAGGCTACCCCAGACACTCATCTTTCTAGCCATTTAGTAGCATTAGCAACCCCACTCTCCACAGGAAAGAATACAGCCATTTGTCAACAACTATCATAATATAGATTTTCCCCTCCACTTCTTCTTGTCACATAATAATGTTTGGGCATCCAAACCATAGGTTTTATGTGTGGCGTAAGTGCCAAATCAATGTACAGCAGCTGAGAAAGGCTCTTTAGGAAAGCACCTTTAAAAGGCTGAAATAATTTTAGCCAAAAAGAAAAAGAAAAGCACCAACACTATAATTGTTAGGCAGGATATACAACTGACCCTTAGGAATCAAAGCCAAAGCTTGTTTGAGAAGCCACATTGATTCTGGGGGAAAAAAGGAGTAGTGTTGTGCTACAATCCTATACTGATGTTATACAAGTTTCAAATCTGGTTTCTGGATGCAAAATTCAGGATTCTAAGCATAAAAAAAAAGCTTTATAGCCCTTAAGGCTGTGAAAAAAGGCTAGAAAATATGCACTCAGTGCCTTGTGATATCTCAAAAGAATGGGTGGCGGCAGTGGCAATGGCGCTGACTGAGCAGTGGTGAAATAGTTGTGTATTTTTATGCAAGCCACAGCAAAGTATGCAGGATATATATGGAAATGTGCTTAGTTTGCAGGATGGATGCCCATCACAGAATCCAGCTTTCTTGGCCTAGAAGAGTTTGCACTGGTGCAAAATGTTGACTTTGTGTCTCTGTGTGTAAGTATATATGCAAAAGTACACAGAGCTCTCAGTGTTTAAATTTCTATCAGTTGACAAAAATAACATGCAATTTGTACAGCCTGATCAATGTTGATCTGTTTTGAAAGCCTGGATTCATTTCACTGCATAAAATGTAAAAACAGCAATGGCTGGAATAAAGAGGGTGATACATGGAATAGAAGGGGTACTGGCTTTAGCAGCCATATGCAAAATACCACTGTCTCATCCCCTGTCCTGTGATGTGCAACTATTAATAAAGAAACACACATTTAAGCAGATTGAAAACATTTATATTAGCTCACAGTGTAATCGTTTGCTAAACAAAAGACTCTGATCTATTAAAAAGATGGGATAGCTCTCCAATTTTGTCTCCTCATTCTGCCTCCACAGACTATTCCTTCGCCTGTAAACTGCATCAGGATTTCAAGACGCCTTTCCCTCAGACCTCAGGTGGGTGCTGGCCCCAAAGGAGGTAGTGGGCTGGATAGAGAGGGAGGAAAAAGATTGATATTTGCCCTCTCTTCTTATCTGCACTTGATTTATAAGTCAGTGCAAGTATGCAGGAGAAATAAAGGCAAAGACCTTGATGCTTCCCTGTGGAGAATACGCACCATTTGGATTGTAGGCATGAAAGGCAAGAAATTAATGTTAAGCTGATCATCTGTCACTACTGCCAGCCTGATGGTTTTGCAAAGAACGGGGGAACTGGATGACATGCCCTCCAGTCAAGGGCACGACTGCCCGCTGTTCGCATATTATAAACACAAAGCTTTGGGTTTGGAAGGGATTTAAATTTAAATTATACTGTACTTGGGGGAAGGCAAATCTTTTACACAAGTTTATTTTCCTGAAGTATTAACATGCAGATTTTTTTCTTCTTTGGGCTGGCTTTATGAAAAGAAAAAGAAAATAGCTTGCCTTTCCACCTTTTTATCCCCATACAGAGGCCTTAATAGGTATCCCTAGTTTTAAAGCGGTCTGTTCTCTAATGTAATAAGGCTTTAAGACTTTCTTTATGCAACCAGAGGGTGAGACACATTGCGTAAAGAAACAATAAAAAAAACAAGCTCTTCTTATTTCAATGGATGGAGAAGGCCAAAATAAGGCCTGGACGTGGGGTCTGAGATTATTTGTTTATTTATTTTCCTGTTCAAAAATGGCCATAATCATAATATTTGTGGCTGGAGCTATCACAAATACGCCTATGGAATAAGGAGAAACATAAAATTTGTGTTACTGTGTTCAAAGATGAGCTTCAAAAAGGTAAATGAAGCGCTTTGTGCAATTGAAAATACCTTATACGATGTCTGGGGAAATAGAAGCCCTTAAAACAAGCAAAGATTGACTTCCACGTGTTTGGTCCCTTGGTTTACAACTAAGAACCTCTGTAACATTTTGCTCACCTGATGGCCTTTGCACTTAAATGATTTCAATGCTCTAGACTAATCTATATAAAGCTGATGCCCCCTCCCCCCGATGTTGTTGGACTGAAATTCCCATCAGCATGCAGATGATTTGAACCACAACTTCCATCATTCCTGACCATTGACCACGCTGACTGGGGCTGATGGGAGTTGTAGTCCAACAGCATCTGGAGAGCAGCAGGTTTGCAAAGGCTGTTGTAGATAGTAGTTCCCCTTTTTAAAAAATCAGTCTCCAATGTAATGAATGAGGAATGTGCTCGCAAGCACAGCCTTAGGATTTTTTCCATAGCAGGTGCAATGACATCAGGGCCAGGAGAATTATCAGACCCTTCCTGCTTTGGGAAGTGAATGAGGTAGTAAGTTGACCGTTGTTTGTGATAGACTTGCGCAAAGGAAGTCAGAGAATCTATTACAGTTGAAAAGCAGCTGGAAGAGGAGAAGTGTGCAGAGGCCAGAGAAATAATTATGAGGCTGGAGGATGTGTGGGAAAGTGACTGTTGCTGCTGCACTACCCCACATGTCAGCTGTTAGGTGGGGAGGCTGAGCAGCCTAAACAAAGCCCCATTGCACCTTAGTTCTCTTTGGGACTTTCTCTGCCCTCACTGACATCATCTTTCAAGGTCTGGGGAAGGTCCACGAGGACTCCCCAGCTCTCTCCTGCCATTTCCTCGTATAGTTCTGTTTGTTTGTTTGTTTGTTTGTTTGTTTCCCACATATACGTGGTCGCACATGAATTAAATGCACATAAGTGAGGGGATGCCTTACAGCACTTCTAGTCTAAATGTCATTGCCGGAGGTACCCAAATGCTGGGACCTCCCCAGCTGACATATAGGGGATAGGTATACGAGAGCATATTTGTTTATTTCAGTCAATAACCAGTTGAGAGGGAGGATGCAGCTGGTGGAGGTATAACGAGGCTCAACATATGACTCAGAGCAATTGACCTTAAAAGTGACAGACATTAAGGCATTGCCATATACCAGATCCATGAACCAAACTTGACTGAAATCAACTCCATGAATAGAGGACATAATTGTGAGGGGTTCTGTATCTAAAGAGGGACAGGTAAACAATATGCTTGATAAGTGTGGTTGCCCTGAGATGAGTCCTGGAAGATGAGTCCTGGACCTTCTCTTGTAGGAAGAAAAGATTCGCCATAAGCCTCAGTGAATGAGAAGAGTGTTTTCATGCTCTGACGGCACATTGAGTATAAGTGAAACCTCTTCTGCGTAATCACACATTCAAGTTTTCTCAAGGCAGAGCCACTTCATCCTAGATTTGTCCTCATCCTCCTTACTAGTGCTAAACACTGAGACTAAGGAATAGGAAGATGACAGGTTATACCAATACCCTTGGATCTGGTTGTACGTAAGAAGGCAGACAGGTGAGGATGGAATGAGGGCAGACTGAGGTCCCACCTGAGAACTTTCCTCTCCTCTCCCAGTCTCTCACCCTGGGAGATCTTCACTCAGGCTCCTTCCACCAACTATCAGCAGTTTTCATGTGGGTAAAGCCCTTGGCCCCCATTGGTGGCCCAGAGCAGGAGACACCACTGGGGTCTACCCCTTGAGGTGACTCCCACTGACATTGCCCATCATGGAGCAGCCCACTGACTGAAGCATGATGGGCTTCCCCCTCTGCATCCTGAAACATTCTCAGGGTTGGTTGAGTCCCCTCAGCTCATACATAAGTTCCACTACATCTGCAGCTGCAGGACCACTCCATGTGGTAGGCTTCAGCAGAGCCAGTTCAGCCATTCAGCAGACTGAGGCTGCTGCCTCAGGCAGCAGAAGCCTCCAAGGCAGCCCCACTACCAGCGCAGAAGTGATGCTGGTATCAGCACTGAACACTGCAAGATCTAGACCAAAACTTGCACTGATGCTGCTTCTCCACCAGTGGTGGAGGCAGCAGGACAGGCAGAGAAGTGGCAGCAGCAAGTATGGTGCCAGTGGTGACAGCAGGGCAGGGCAAGGCCATTTCCCCAGCTTCAGTATATATAGAATGAGCCTGTCCCCACAGGCAGAATGCATCAAACGGTGTTGCTCTGATCACCCTAACATCTTGTGGTTTGAAAGCTGATAACAAAAGAAGAAAATGTGATCTTCTGCATAATTATTTTTCAATAATAGCTGGCCTACGTTGCCTAATTCTCAAAAGCTTCTTTTCTGATCCCGTTCACTCTGCCCTTGATGATTAAAATGTACACAATAAACTCAATTTATATATATAAAAAAGATTTATCTCCTAAATATGATTACAAATGACCTTTGATAAAGAGTTAGCGAAGAATAACAGGAAAATAAGAGCTTCA